TCCGCTGTGTATATCGTGATTGGCATCGCTGGAAGAGCTGCAGTGATACAATTTTCCCAGTGTCTTTATTTCTGGCATTCTACAGCTAGTTATGGAAGAAGTTAACTTCTATTGCGACGTTTCGGACCATCCTAAGCCATTATTAGTTCGATTGTGTTCCATGACGGGTGAGAGTATCGCCTCAATACCACTCCTCAGACCTACGGTTCTTGTTCAATTGTATTGCACGATTTTAGAGCAAAAAAAAAAATAACATTTTTTTCATAGTTATAGTCTCAAGACACATTTTTCCGCCTTATTCTCATATAAAAAATAAAATTTAAGTTTCTTGATGTATTTGGAGAAATAGGCCTACACGTGTAGGCAGCTAGTATTCCAGTACTCTCAGATTTTGGCTATGGCTTCCTATAATATAGTGTCTCCACAAAGTTCTTTTACGATTTTCATTTGCTTTACAGACGAACTAAAACTTTAAATAAGGTTCCAATACTGTCTAATCCATACAACCTCAACATGTAAACATCTAGAACCAAACCATACCCCCGGCCGGGATTGAACCCGCGGTCATAGAGTCTCAAAACTCCAGCCCGTCGCGCTAGCCACTAGACCAGCTAGCCACGCTAGCTGGAGATTCGTCTGTAAAAACTTGCATTTGTGGTCACAGAGGTGCCTGTGCTAACTTTCCTATGGTGTAGAAATATACCTAGTTGGATGAATCTTATTGTGGCTAGCTGGTCTAGTGGCTAGCGCGACGGGCTGGAGTTTTGAGACTCTATGACCGCGGGTTCAATCCCGGCCGGGGGTATGGTTTATTTGCAATCGTGTCATTACGATTTCTTAAGTCATGTTGAACACTTAACATGTCTAATCCATACTGCTGTGCAATACTGTATATACACTATACTGCAGAGTATAATGTTTATGCTATATTGCACAATATACGGTATTTGGATCTTCGTGTAAAATATATATGTAGTGAAATGTGTTTTTATTAGTTTTTTGTAGGATTTTTTTCACTGGAGTTTCCAGTTGAAATTAGTATGGGATATAATACTTGATTACTAATGCAAATTAGCTAGGAAATATCTGTAACAAATAGTACGTGTGTTATTTTGTGGTTCATTAGTGGTGTGGTGGCTGGTAGGGGTTGTGACTGCTGTGTGTGTTGCGGGGTTGTGACTGCTATGGGTGTTGCGGGGTTGTGACTGTTGTGTGTGTTGCGGGGTTGTGACTGCTGTGGGTGTTGCAGAGTTGTGACTGTTGTGTGTGTTGCGGGGTTGTGACTCCTGTGGGTGTTGCGGGGTTGTGACTGATGTGGGTGTTGCGGGGTTGTGACTGCTGTGTTGCGGGGTTGTGACTCCTGTGGGTGTTGCGGGGTTGTGACTGCTGTGTGCTGCGGGGCTGTGACTCCTGTGGGTGTTGCGGGGTTGTGACTCCTATGGGTGTTGCGGGGTTGTGACTGCTGTGGGTGTTGCGGGGTTGTGACTACTGTGTGTTGCGAGGTTGTGACTGTTGTGTGTTTGCGGGATTGTGACTGCTGTGGGTGTTGCAGAGTTGTGATTGGTGTGTGTTGCGGGTTTGTGACTCTTGTGGGTGTTGCGGGGTTGTGACTGATGTGGGTGTTGCTGGGTTGTGACTGCTGTGTTGCGGGGTTGTGACTCCTGTGGGTGTTGCGGAGTTGTGACTCCTGTGGGTGTTGCGGGGTTGTGACTGATGTGGGTGTTGCTGGGTTGTGACTGCTGTGTTGCGGGGTTGTGACTGCTGTGGGTGTTGCGGGGTTGTGACTGCTGTGGGTGTTGCGGGGTTGTGACTGCTGTGGGTGTTGCGGGGTTGTGACTGCTGTGGGTGTTGCGGGGTTGTGACTGCTGTGGGTGTTGCGGGGTTGTGACTGCTGTGGGTGTTGCGGGGTTGTGACTACTGTGGGTATTGCGGGGTTGTGACTGTTGTGTGTGTTGCGGGGTTGTGACTGCTTGGGGTGTTGCAGAGTTGTGACTGTTGTGTGTGTTGCGGGGTTGTGACTCCTGTGGGTGTTGGGGGGTTGTGACTGATGTGGGTGTTGCTGGGTTGTGACTGCTATGGGTGTTGCGGGATTGTGACTGTTGTGTGTTGCGGGGTTGTGACTGCTGTGGGTGTTGCGGGGTTGTGATTGCTGTGGTGTTGCGGGGTTGTGACTGCTATGGGTGTTGCAGAGTTGTGACTGTTGTGTGTGTTGCGGGGTTGTGACTCCTGTGGGTGTTGCGGGGTTGTGACTGATGTGGTGTTTGCTGGGTTGTGACTGCTGTGTTGCGGGGTTGTGACTCCTGTGGGTGTTGCGGGGTTGTGACTCATGTGGGTGTTACGGGGTTGTGACTCATGTGGGTGTTGCGGGGTTGTGACTGATGTGTGTGTTGCGGGGTTGTGACTGCTGTGGGTGTTGCGGAAGTTGTGACTGCTGTGGGTGTTTGCGGGTTGTGTGACTGCTGTGGGTGTTGCGGGGTTGTGACTGCTGTGGGTGTTGCGGGGTTGTGACTGCTGTGGGTGTTGCGGGGTTATGACTGCTGTGGGTGTTGCGGGGTTGGTGACTGCTGTGGGTGTTGCGGGGTTGTGAGTGCTGTGGGTGTTGTGGGGTTGTGACTGCTGTGGGTGTTGCGGGGGTTGCGACCTGCTGTGGGTGTTGCGGGGTTATGACTGCTGTGGTGTTGCGGGGTTGTGACTGCTGTGGGTGTTGCGGGGTTGTGACTGCTGTGGGTGTTGTGGCTTTAGTTGTTCTGACTGTTATGGTTCTTGTAAGTGTTGTTCATTTGTAGATATCCTGTTGGTGGTTTTAATCAGAGATTTTAGGTTGTGGTTGCCGTTGTGTTTATGAGTAGTCATTGTGGTTGTTGAGACTGTAGTTGTTTCTGAGGATGAGGGTATTATTGTATTGGTTGCTGGAGCTTTGGTGGATGTGTTTGAAACTGTGTTGGTTTCGTTGGTGTAATTGGTGTCGCTGTTTTTTCTTGCAATTTTGGCTCGTTCCATTTTTCCAGCGAAATGTGGATGTGGTGGCCACTGGAAAAGTGGTCGCCTGGATTTTTTTTTTTTTTTGTGGTAACAGATTTGCTTGTGGTTGTCTTGTGGTTATTGTTGCTGATGGAGTGTTTGTTGTTAGTTCGTTAGTTAAAGATTAGCCGGTATTCTCCCGGCCCGGGCCTTGTCCAAGTGGTGGCCCGGCCTTGGCTCCCTCTTTAAGGAGTGTCTGAGACCTAAGTCTCCCATGGGAGGAGGCACAAGTACCTCCTCATCTTTGGGACCAACTGTCACCAGGCCTAGCCACAAGCTAGGCCTCGCTGGTCCGCCATCCTCGCCCCAAGGGGGCTAATGGGAATGACAGTCTTATGAGCTAAAGGCTCGTGCTCAGGCACCTACCCTACCCTAGAAGGGTTAGGCATGGTGTCGATCTGTTTGTTGTTCTGATGCGTTTTGCTATGGCGTATTTTATTGTCTGTAGTGTTAATGTTCAGTTTTATTGTGTTGGTTTATATTCTGTGTTCTTTTTTACGTATTTCATATGGTATTTTTTTGTTTGTTTTATTTGTGTTTTATGTGGTTGTTGTGTTCGTGGTCTAGTGCCCGTTTCTGTTTCAGTCCTGTTGCTTGGGAAGAAAAACTTCTGAAATAGGCGGTAATGTAATTATATGTTTCATCAATATTTTTCTCCCACACTAATTACATTACGGCGCTGGGAAACGCTTATTAAACAAGTGTGATGATTATGTTGGTTGATCTGTTTACATTACGGTACTGGGAAACTCAAAATAAATATGTGTGTGATGCTCTAATTGCGATACAGCGCTGGTAAACTAAACAAAAGCACTGATTACGTTTAATGCTTTAATTACGCAATGTCGCTGGAATACAAATGCTACAAACTCTAATGGGAAATAATAGCATAAAATGTTTCTCCAAACATCCGATTCAATTAACAAATTACAACTACAAAGCGATTGATTTTCAGTCAAATTTGACGAATAAGCTTAAATTCTCGTGGGGCTTTA